GTCTGAACTCATATATGTGTATAAAAATGAATAATAGTTAAAAATACATATAAAAATATTAATTATATAGAAAATTATCTCCTTAAGTTACGCCTTACGTTATTTAAAACTTTAAGAATAATAGTAAAAAAACCAAATAAATGATATTTGTGATTTTATTTTGATTAAAATCAAAATTGATAGACATGAAACTTGAAGGACCTTATAGTTGCGGAAAAAAAACTTTGTAAAAAATTACAAATTTGAATAACTATATGATAGATTTGTGTAATTTACTGTTCTTTTCTAATAAATAAAGATTTTTTGTCACGTGTCTTCTTCTTCATTTTATCGTATGACATTTTATTTATTTATTTATTTATTTTTCACTTGTTATTTTTGTAGGTTTTTCATTCTTATATTAAATTTTCAGAATTTATGGTTATATATATATATATATATATATATATATATATATATATATATATATATATATGAAAGGTTCTTATTCTATTCATATTCATGTAAGATTATTATTTTATTACTTTGAAATTAAATTCACATAAATATTACAAACTCATTCATTTACTTTCTTTTTCAATTATTTTATAAAATATTTAATGTTTACATATTCATATTCATATTAAACTTTTTATTTTTATTAAATGGTTTAACATTTTTATAAAAACAAGAGCAGATTATAACATTTTTCAGCTTATAAGAATGTAACAATACAGGTGCTCCTATAAATTGAAATAAAAATAGGAAAATTTTATCAAGAGTAAAAGAGAGAAAAAAGACATGTCGATCATATTTGTCGGTGATAGAAAGCAAGGATAAGCAATATGTTGACATTAACGGAACATGCGATCCTTTGTCTACAACCTTTTGTCCATGTTTTCCTGTGCTGATTCTATTTCTTTTATAATAAAAAACAAACCATAAAAATATTCGTTTTCATGCAGCAGAAACAAAACAAATAATTACTTATATATGCATTTAATATTTTTAACTTGAAATATATTCATCTTTTTCTATTTTTTTCAAGACGCTTACTATATCACTGTCAAATAACCTTTTTTTTATAAATTATTATTATTATCTTGTTTTAAGCTGTTTAGCACATCATTGTCAAAACTCATTTTTCACATACCGCACAACCCACTCAGTTTTTATATATATACAAATCAATTATAAATAAACAAAGCGAATTCACAAACCATTAATTAATCAATAAAAAAAAAACAACTATTAATTTGGTTTAATACTAATCCTAAATTCAAATAATTAAAAAAAAATAAACATGTTGCTTTCTACTAATCTTAAAACGAACGATTTTATATATATATATATATATATATATATATATATATATATATATATATATATATATATATATATATATATATATATATATATATACTAATCCTAAATTCAAATAATTAAAAAAAAACATGTTGCTTTCTACTAATCTTAAAACAAACGATTATATATATATATATATATATATATATATATATATATATATATATATATATATATATATATATATAGACAGAGAGAGAGAGAGAGTTCAAATGAGAACATTTCTTATATTGAAAACAATTGATAAACTTTCTATCGGTACATATCTCCCATCTCTTACTCTTTCAAAATACCTTTCTCCTCTTTCTCTCTCTACATACCTCTCTCCTTTTTCTCTCTCTACATATCTCTCACATCTTTCTCTCTCCACATATCTCTCAAGATAATCTGAACCATCGTCACCGTCAACGGACCTCCACCAGAACGACCCTAACGTCGCCAAAATCACCTTAATTCGTTGGAATCATTGAGCTGATTCTTCACTCTCTCTAGAAAACTACTAAACACCACCAGAACGTTGTCGAATCTAGATCTTCTCATCGCTTCCTTCTTTCATCTCCACTGGTTCACTATTCGGAAACCACCTCCACCTCTCATCTTCCAGAACCGTGGCCCCGGAATCGCCAGCATGAATCAGTCGTAAAAGCATCTTACAGGAAACTTCCTTGATGGGAACCACCTCCTTACTGTCTCTTCTCCGATCTCGTTTTCACCAGCCTACTTATTTCACCAGATCTAGATCTACACTTAGATCTCTTTAGGTTAGTTCACACCATCGACTTTGGTCCATTATCATCCTATTTACTAGCATCCTTATTAGATTTACACTTCATTTTCAGAACCAAAATCTCATGGATGATCTTTATTAAATTTTGAATAAAGTAATCAAGCATATCAACCTTGTTTTCCTTTAATTTACCACCAAATTCGTCCACCGTATCGCACTTCCTGCCTACTCAGTAAAAAATTCTGCCAAAACTTTATCCTTAAACCCTAAGTTAGATTCAAGCTCAATACATACCTTAGATACCAGTGAACGTTATTCGATGTTTTTTCAAACTTGGTTCCTTCGTCATTTGAGATACTATCTTCAGATTACACTTATATTATTCAATGAGAATTTAAAAATACAATGTATGTGGAAAAATAGTTTAACAGATTAATATATGTGTAATTGTTATTACAATCCAGTTGATATCCCTTAACATTATTTGATAATCATTATGCGATTGTCTTCACTGATGATGAATGAGACATGTTACAGACTTACATTTTACAGGACGAATGTTCAATGAAGTATGCATTTTACAGACTTACATTATTTCCAAAAGCTGGGACAAAAGATCTCCTTTGCTGCATCCCTTTGATTATTCTACTTGGGTCCCACATGTAAAATGCAACTTGTTGGTAAGAGAGTCATTTGAAATTTTTTGATAGAATCATATGTGATTCACATGAAAATCATATATAAATAAGATGTAATTCACATGTAAATCACAAGTTTGTCACATATGAATTACATATGATTCACATGTAAATCTCAATTACACATGATTCACATATGAATCACATGTCATTCATATATGAATCACATGTGATTCACACTTCAATCACAATTACATGTGATTCACATGTAAGTCACATATGATTCACATGTAAATCACAATTACACGTGATTCACATGTAATTCACATATGAATAACCTGTAATTCACATGTATATCATATGTAATTTACATATGAATCCCATGTGATTCACATGTAAATCACATATGATTCACATGTAAATCACATGCGATTCACATGTAAATCACATGTGATTCATATGTGAATCGCATGTGATTTCCATATGATGTCATATGTAAATGTGATTCATATGTGAATCGCATGTGATTCATATGTGAATCACATTCGATTCATATAGTAATCATATGGAAATCACATATGTATTTTTATGAGTGTTTTTGCATCAATCATTTTTTAATTTTCTTGTAGATTTGGAAGAAATTGTGGTGAATATTAAATAGATGAAAAATGATAAATTGAAGAAAATAAGGAAATATTTATACGAAAACATGAAAATGCTTTAAAATTTGTAGCATTTTTTATTTTTTATATTTTATTTTGTATCGAATAAAATACTTGTACTATTATGTTTATAGATTAATTAATAAAAATGAGATTTTTTATAACTTACTTACGAATATTATAATATAAGAAATACACATATATGCATTTGAAAAAAAAATGCATATATGCACTTAAAAATTTACTTTTATAAAAATGGGATTTTTTATTATTTACTTACAAATATTATACTATAAGAAATATAAATATATGCATTTGAAAAAATATGCATATATGCACCTAAAAATTTAGTTTTTAAAAAAATACATTTTTTTTTGAAAAAATTGCAGTTTCTTCTTTAAATGCAGCTTTTATTTATTTATTTATTTATTTTTTTAATTTTTAGTTTTTTTTTTTTAAATGTAGCTTTTTTAAAAAAAAACTTGTGGCGAGTGGTGGTTATGGTAGGTGGGTGGGTGGGTGGTGGTGGTGGTGGTGGCGGGTGGTACGTAGTGATGGGTGGTGGGTTGTGGTTGGTGGTGGGTGGTGGTGGCGAGTGGTAGGTAGTGGTGGTGGGTGATGTTAGTTGGGTGGTAAGTGGTATTAGTTAGTGGGTTTTCTAATTTTTGTAACTAGTTTTTGATTTATATGAATATTATTTTATAACTTTAATTAAAAAAAATTACGTGGTTTAAATTTGTTCTTAAATGTTTTCACGATAAGAAATGTTCTCAATTGAAATCTCATCTATATATATATATATATATATATATATATATATATATATATATATATATATATATATATATATATATATATATATATATATATATATATATATATATATCAGTGTTGCAGAAATTGATCAAACATGGGCATGGTGGTCATTGGCGGTCCTCGGAGGTTATAGATGAGAAAAAAATTTAAAAATTAAAATTTTATTATTTTCAAATATTACATCAAAATTTTAAATTTTAAAATTTTAAAATATTATATTAAAATTTTCAAAATACTGAATTTTTAAAATATAAAAATTTCAAATATTTATTTTTTAGGATATTCTAATTTTTTAAATAATATTATTAACAAATTAGGGTCCCCAATTAATCCCCGATGAATCGTCGCCTAGTCTGATTAATCGTTTAACGCTAGCTGACCTTCGAGCTATCGTCGAACGATTTTCACAACCTTGATGTATATATATATATATATATATATATATATATATATATATATATATATATATATATATATATATACAGAGAGAGAGAGAGAGAGAGGAGGGTTCAATTGAGAAAAAAAAAGGTTAAGAATGGGGGAACCATTCTCAGCCAATCATTTAATGAGCTTAAAAAATGCACGGTGGCAAACTTGTAAATAATCCAAATACATTAATGAGCGGTGACAAAATTGTAAATAATCAAAAAACATTAAACCGTCAGGGCACTTGAGTAATTTGATATCACGTCAAATATCGACAGAAAAGCACCATTTCCCTCTTTGATACACCATAACTCGAAAACCATTTGAAGAACAATCAACAAGAAGAAACACATTTGCAGAAGCATCAAATAACATAAACGAAGAAAAATGTCTTCCGATGAAAACATGAACGAGACCATTTCCTCACTCTTGACAATGAAAGGTAACCATCAGCGTTTTATCTCGAGTTTTTAACGATTTCGAATCATTTCTAAAACTATCACTTGATTACTTGAAATTTCTCGTAATGTTTGAAAATTATTAGTTGATTTATAACTAAAAACATTGTTTTCACACTGTTCATTCTTCAAAAAAGGTTGTTTACTTCAATTTTACTTGAAATTTATGATACTCGTTCATTCTCGTAACCCTCCTTCGTTATTACTTTATTTACTTGAAATTTTTGTAAGAATCATCCATTATTATTTGATATATAAATGATTTTACATCATCTCTTAATTTTTCATCTTTATTCAAAACTATTCTGTCAAAATACAAACGTTACTTAACATTTTGCTTATGTTTTCCTAATATTAACTACTTACCCTTACAGAAACGACAACAACACTGAAGAATACATATAAACGAAAACCAAGAACAAATCAAAAAGGTAAATAAAATATGTTTTGTTTACTTCTGAACACAAGCAAAACTAATATTCATTCGTGAATATGTATAGCTTGCTGCCATACATACATTATTAATATGTGAATACAACAAGAATTACTTACGTATGTTCTATTCACATACGAATATAACAAAACATATTCATATGTGAATAAAGAAAATATGAATACATATGTTGTATTCAAATATTCATTCATGAATATGTATGTTATATTAACAGAGAACATAACTTACTGCCATACATACATTATTCATATGTGAATACAACAAGAATTACTTACATATGTTCTATTCACATATGAATATAACAAAACATATTCATATGTGAATAAAGAAAATATGAATACATATGTTTTATTCAAATATTCATTCGTGAATATGTATGTTATATTCACATATGAGTAGAACATAGCTTGCTGCCATACATACATTATTCAAATGCGAATACAACAAGAATCACTTACATATGTTCTATTCACATATGAATATAACAAAACATATTCATACGTGAATAAAAAAATATGAATACATATGTTTTATTCAAATATTCATTCGTGAATATGTATGTTATATTCACATATGAATATAACATAGCTTGCTGCCATACATACATTATTCAAATGCGAATACAACAAGAATCACTTACATATGTTCTATTCACATATGAATATAACAAAACATATTCATACGTGAATAAAAAAATATGAATACATATGTTTTATTCAAATATTCATTTGTGAATATGTATGTTATATTCACATATGAATAGAACATAGCTTGCTACCATACATACATTATTCATATGTGAATACAACAAGAATTACTTACATATGTTCTATTCACATATGAATATAACAAAACATAATCATATGTGAATAAAAAAATATGAATACATATGTTTTATTCAAATATTCATTCGTGAATATGTATGTTATATTCACATATGAATAGAACATAGCTTGCTGCAATACATACATTATTCAAATGCGAATACAACAAGAATCACTTACATATGTTCTATTCACATATGAATATAACAAAACATATTCATACGTGAATAAAAAAAATATGAATACATATGTTTTATTCAAATATTCATTCGTGAATATGTATGTTATATTCACATATGAATAAAACATAGCTTACTGCCATACATATATTATTCAAATGTGAATACAACAAGAATCACTTACATATGTTCTATTCACATATGAATATAACAAAACATATTCATATGTGAATAAAAAAAATATGAATACATATGTTTTATTCAAAATATTCATTCGTAAATATCAAACTCATTTATCTTATACTTACTATTGAATGAAGGTAAGAACACTAACATTTCCGATAAAGATTCACCAACAATGAGAGAAACAAGATCAATGCAGAAGAGGAAAAATGCGAAAGGTACAAAATTCCTATCATATCTAATATATTCATATATAATAAAATTGTATATATTAGTTATATTTTTTAAATAAATAAATATTATTAAATCAACGAGCATATATCATATTCATATATCAGTAAGTTATTCAAATATTATATGTTTTCATTTTCCAGATAAAAAAGAAACAAAAGTACCAAAGAAAATGAAACATCAAAGCAGGAAAAGTCCATCAAAAAGGAAAACTCATGAAAAACAACAACTACAAGATTCAGACTCTGATTTTGAAAGTAGTCATCCATCGAAGAAGGCAAAAAAAAGGAGTCACCAATCAAAAAAGACAAAAAAAAAATCAATGGTAAAAGAATTTTACTCAATGAAAAACAGATGTTCACCAGAGGCATTACTATCTATAATCCTTGGGATGAGCAAAGAACAAAAAGAATTTGTAAGGTCTATGGGTTTTGGAGCTTTGTTAAAAATGAAAATCACGGATATACCACTGAAGCTGGGATTTTATGTTCTTCAAAAATTTGATTATGAGAGAATGGTGATAGATATTGAAGGAAAGGAATTGAAAGTAACAGCAGAGTCTGTTCATGACATGTTAGGCATACCAATTGGTGGAACCAAACTTACACAACTGGATCAATGGCCTAAGGATGATACAAGTTATGATGAATGGAAACAACAATTTAAAAAAGATTCAATCATCCGACTGAGTGCAATCGAAAATGTTATTGTTTCTACCACACAAGCTGATTTCAATTTCAAATTGAACTTCTTAGTTCTTTTTGTCAACACTTTTTGCGAGTCAACATCAATGGGAAGATGCAACCTGTTTCCCTTGAGTTATATTTCAAGAAAAACAGATATCAGCAACATAGACTGGTGCAGCTATGTTTTGGACTGTCTTGTCAGAACAAAAAACTCATACATACCATACTCAAAATAACAGCTTCTTTGTTGGACCTTCAGCTTTCTTGGTGGTAAGTTATTATAATGTTTATACTCAATTTTTAATAATATTGATTATTCATAATCTAATAGAAAATATTCATATATGAATAAGAAAAATATATTTGTTCACACATAATGCTTTACATTACTTATTCATTTATGAATAAGTAAAAAATAATATTACTTGTTCATATATGAATATCAATTAGTTATCATTTATGTGCAGTTGTTCTATGCTGATAACATCCACTCGGAAGCTTTAACAGTAACACGTAAACGTCCAACAATTTGTTATTGGAGTTCAGAGAAGATTAGATATCGAGAGACATTTGAACAAGAAAAAGGTAGATTTGGAGATGGAGAATTAAACGAAGAATTTGTTAATGAACAAAATGAAGGAGATACAGATCTCGAAGACAGTGATTCTGATAAAGATGAAGATCATTCTGTTGAGGTAATTAGTTTTAACATGTTAATAATATATGATTACATTAAATTATTATATTAAATTCTAATCATATACTTCTTTTTGTTACATAGGCATATGAATCAAAAATATCAAAAATGATTAATAGTTTTGAGAGGATGAAGGAAAAGCTGAATTCAAAGTTTAATGATGCGATGACAAAGTTCCCTGAAAAGGAAAGTTTTAGATTTTTCAAAAAAAAGATGAAAAATATGATTGTTGAAGAAAAAACTGAAAGCACAACACTTTTTAATTTTCCAATTAATAAAATTGGAGTTGAAGGAATCAATTTGACACTAATAATGGGTCAAAAAACAAATGATCAAACAAAAATGAAGATAAAGAGGGAAAGTGAAGAAGACAGTGATAATGGTGCAAGTCAACCTTGATTCAAATGAAGCAGGTAATGAAGGAATAAGGAATGATGCAGATAAGAATAAAAAAGAAGGTAAAATTAGAGTAAAAGAGAAAGATGCAAAGAGGAATGAAAATCAGCATGATGAAGAAGAAAAAGATGATCATGCTGAGGAAACAAATAATCATGAAGAGACTATTCAACAAACTAAAAATCAAAATTTGTTGGATAAAGTTGTTGACAACATTGTGGACAATGTCCTTGGAATTGGAGTTTCAAGTTTAAATAGTCAAGAAGATGAAATCTGGAATCACCCTGAAATGAAAACTATTTTCGATAATATTGATATAGGTAAATTTTTTCTTAATTTTATTTTTAAAAAATATATAAAAATATCAATACACAATAACAATTTTGTTTGTTAAATTTTCACCAGGGTCACCAATGAGTACAGCTAAAACTAATACTCTTGCAGAAAAAGAAAAATCAGAAGGTATACATGAACAAGGAACAAAAGTTGAAAAAACAAGGGAGATGATACAGGTAAATGAATGATTTAAAATATATTACAATATTTATATTGATTTTTTTAATAACATTGTTTATTCATAAATGAATAATATACTATATAAATGAATAAAAAATAAAAAATATTCATATATGATGTATATGTTTCAGGCAAGGAAAACTCTGAAGATAGAAATGAAGGAGGAACAGAAACTAAGAACACGAAAGATGGATGTGAAGAAAAACAAACAGAAATTGAAAAAGGAAATGCAGAAGATAGAGGTAAATAGTTGATTCACTAATAAATGAATATAGTAAGTTTTATTATTCATAAATGAATAACACAATATATGAATAAATAAAAAATATACTATTACTTATTCATAAATAATAATATGTATTACTTATTCATAAATGAATACATTACTTATTCACATATGAATTACTTAATAACATTTCTTTATCTTTCAGGAAAGAAAAAGTCAGAAAATCAAAACAAGAAAGGAGAAAAAGCTGACAAGACAAAAGGAAATAAATGAGGTAACAATTTGGATAAACATTTCAAAATATAAACTCAAACATTATAATTAACTTACAACTATTTATATGATAAATCTCCTGGCATGCAGATACTCATCCAAGCTTTAGTCTAGGTCTCAGTCAAGATTCAGATCAAACTTCAAGTAAAAAATCTAATGAATCTTCACCAAAAAAAACACTTACCAAGAAACAAATCAAAGACGACCATCAGAAGGTTGTTATCAGATTAGCAAAGAAAAATGTTCTTAATCCAAATCCAATCTCTGTATCAATTCCTACTGAAGTAGGACCATCAAAGAATGATCTGGATCAACCAAGATAGAAGAAGCTTGCTGATGCTTTCAAATCACCTTTCAAATGCAGAATAACAGACACAAAACCCAAACTGACACATCAGGAGAGTATTGTCTGTGAATGGTTGTTCAACTTACAAGGCAATACATCGTAAGTAACTTTATTTTATATATATTCATATATGATTATTATATAGATAATAATCTATGACATTTTTTATTATATATTTGCAGAGATGTGGTTGTCCAGACAAAATATGGTTTAGATAGCAGAAAGACCAGTTATGGAAAGTCTATATGCAAACACAGAGATTTTTGGACAAGTTTTAGACATTTGGTCTGATTTACTTAACCACCAAGAACTGGAAAGGGATTTTGGAAATTCACCATACAGACTCTTCTTGAAAGTTGGAGTTTCTGTAAGTTTATGTTCTTACCTTAATTCCTTCCTTATTCATAAATGAATACACCAATATGATGTATTCATTTACGAATATTATATTTTTTACAACTTAAATTCACATATGATTATACAAATATGATGTATTCTTTAACATAATTATATATATTCAATCGAAATTCACGTATGATTATCTTGGTTACAGACTGCTTATTTAACTTCAACATTGTCTGATGAAAGAAAGTATGAAAAATTCAAGGAGAACTTTCATAACAGTACCAATGGGTACAAAAAAATCTTGAACATAAAAGATATTGATATGGTATGTTAATTAAAGTTGTTTTTTTATATATATTTATCAACAAGTAATATTACACATCGTCCCTCGTGCAGGTACCAAAAGGCACGTATAGTCCCTAATTTCAAAAATTAACTCAGACCGTCCTTCATTTGGATGTAACTGACACGTTTGATCCCTCCAGACATAAAATGACTATATTGCCCTTAATAATTTCTTTTAATGTTTTAATTTATTTATATTGCCTTTAATTTAAGTATATAATTATTTTAAAAGATATTAAATATTTGTGATCCCACCTCCTTTTGTCCATCGTTCCTCATCGTCCTCTCATCTCTTTTGAAACAGTCCTCCACCAAATCACTATCGAATACATTTCGACACCACCACCGACATCTCCTGCATTCACCATTGTTGCCTCCTTCAACCACCAAATCTGAAACTAGAACCACAATCTGAAATCTAATACTAAAACCATAATCTAAAGCTTAAACGAAGATGAAATCAATACCAATTTTCTAAAATCTGGAACCAAAACAAACCAAAATCTAACTCTAATAAATAGAAAATCCTAATCTAAAACCTGTATCAGCATCGATTTTGAAGATGATATCCTGAAACCTAAAATCAGCCCTTTAAGAAATCAACACCAATTTGCTTGAGGTGATTTTTCAAACATCAAAGTAAAAAAATGAGGAGAAGGAACAATCAGTAACCGTTGTAATAGTTTATGACAACAGGAAAACAAATCAGTTGAATCAATCGAATGAATCTCCGGTTGCTAAACCTTCATCTCCGTCGAAAATTCCAAAACTGAATCGAAAACGAAATCTAAAGCTTTTAGTAAGAAACTAAGGTTGAAATCGTGAATTAATGTCTTCTGGTGATGATCCAAAAAAGGCATTCGATTCTGCTATACGTGCGATCAAATTATCTGACAGTATCCACTATCCAGTCGGAAAAAACAGATCTGGAACTCGTCATGTGTTTGAACATCAAGTTTAGAGATTTAAAACACATTTTGGGGGGACACAATGCCAGATTTGGGGAAACAGGGTCGTGAATCAATTCCTCCGATGATGATCCAAAAAAAGTGCTCGATCTTGCTATACATGCTATGAAATTGTTTGTAAGTATTCAATCAAAGAAAAGTAGATCTCGAACATGAACGAAGGGCAAGGGTGGTAGGTGTCTAGGTGGTACCATCTTTATTTTAAAAGATATAAATAATAGTTAAATAATAAATTAATTAAAAATAATAATGTACAAGGGCATTATAGTCTTTTCATGTCTGGGAAGGGATGAAGCGTGTCGATTAAAACTAACGAGGGATGAAACGTGCAAGTTTCATCCGGATGAGAGACGGTCCGAGTTAATTTTTGAAAATAAGGACTAAACGTGCCTTTTGGCACCTACACGAGGGACGATTCGTGTAATTTACTCTATATTTTATCAACAAAGTACTTACCATTATATACATAAAAACAAGTATTCTTTCCAGTTGTTAAAAGTGCTCAAATTTTTGTGATTGTCTTCAACTTAAAGAAACCGTCAATTGAAATTCTAGACAATAGTTCAGTTGAGGGGGATTATGAAGGGAAATTCGGAGTAATAATGAAACCTTTGGTATGTACCAAGTTCACAACAACATAAAAGAACCAATTTATTACATATCTAACTTTTATTTTATTTAATGATCGGATTTTTTTTTTTGTGAAATACTTTAAAGAAATAAACCATCCAAGAGCAAATGCAATCTCAAAAGAAAGTATCAAACCCAACGACCTGAAATGTCATGGAGAACAGCTAAAAACAAAGTTGAATTGTGGGGTCTTTGCAATGAGACATATGGAGACCTATATGGGACAACCATTCTCAAAGTGGAAACCAAGTCTTCATAAAGAAAGTGCAGTTCAACAAACTACTTTAGAGAAGCTCAGGTAAAGATATGCACACATAATGCTAACTTTTGAAATTAACATGTTGAAGGCTAAGGTGTTGGATCTTGCTGAAAAATATCAAAAAGTTGAATTCAAAGTGCGTACTGATCATGCATACAAGGCTATGCAAAAAAGGTTAAAAGAATATTAATGATTGCTTGTGAAGATGAAAGAATGTTGAAGTGTGATGCTATAGAACAGTTTGTGTTGAAGATGAATGGATTTGAAGTACATGTAAGATGATTCTGCGAAACAAGTTTTAAAATTGTTTGATAAATATTGTTGAACATCATTTTAATATTTTGTGAAATGCTTATGAACAGCTTTTATTATCTTGTGTTGAATGATTATGTAATAGAAACAACTTCGCTTATTTCTGTCAGTTTTTTATATTTAAATATTTTCAAAGTTTATTTATGTTTATTCATAAATGAATACGAATATGATATCTTCATTTATGATTAAATTAGGAGTAATATGTCAGTATAACAAAGTTCATATATGAATATAACAAATTTCATATATGAATATAACTAACTTATTAGTAGAAACAAGTTTGCTTATTTATGTTATTTTTTTATATTCAAATATTTTCAAAATTTATTTTTATTTATTCATAAATGAATACGAATATGATATATTCATTTATGAATAAGTTCAAAGTAATATGTTAGTATAACAAAGTTCGATATTAACATAAAAAGTTCATATATGAATATTACTTATTTATTAGTATAACAAATTTCACATATTTATATTCATTTATAAATAATTCACAATATCAATATAACTTATTTTATAGTAATTTAAAAAAAATATCAACATATCAATTTACCATATCAATATAAATGTGTATTATTCATACATGAATATTATTGTTTATTGTTTTTATCTGCATATATTCATAAATGAATAAAAAAATCTCTAACTGTCTTTTGCTGATTTAGCAGCTCCAACTCTTTCTGGACAAGTACGTAAATTGTGTGGAACTCGCTTTCCACATCCTGAACACATTCTATGTTCTTTTTTAGAATTTTCATATGCTACTTCACCTGCACTTGGAATTCTTTTCTTGATTCCAGAACCTTTATTGCTTTGAACTTCAGGAACATGAATATTAATCTCTTCTGGAATAGGAATAGTAACACCCAAAAGCTTGCCATACGACTTCACCACTGTCTTGCTTTTCAATCCAGGAGAAATATAATCACTCTCAAATTCCTTCAACAACATTTGTTGTTTCTCAGCAAACAAAGCCAATCTCTTTTTGTCATCTCTTACAATATCCAAACATGATTCAAAACTATAATATGAATCATTGACTAGCTTTACATTCTCACAATCACCTGAATCGGATTGAACAGAACTAAAACAATAATTTCTTGATATCACATCCTTTCTCCATCTCTTCAAAATGTACCTTTCAGGAATTTCTTTAACACCACATCTCGAGGTGTTTGCATTTTATATGATGCTTTCCTTGATGCCCTATCAAGCTCTCGTTGAGTATTCCTTTGCTTTTGAATGGCAGTGTCGTAATTCATCATGAAATTCAAAAGTAATTCCCACTTTCTGAATATGTATTAAAGAATGAATTCATACTCTCTGACCTCGATGTAGTCTTCATCAAACCACACATTGGAATATCACTAAAATATCCAGGTATCCATGAATCACGTATTGTAAACATGTCTTTAAACCATCTTGTGTCTTCAATATTGAATTCCTTCATAAGCAAACCCCACTTCACCTCAAAAACATCAGGTTTCATATTAATGTCCCAAACAGCTTCGAAAACCTTTTTCTAAAGTCTGTGTTTGTAAATAAATCATCTGATATCTGTATTAAAACAAAAATATTCATAAATGAATAAATAATAATAAGTAAAATAACAATCAATATTCATAAATGAATATACTAATAAGTAATATATTTGAAATAAATTAAAATAATACCTTTTTTTCAACTTTTTCATTATATGCCACATACATAATCGGTGCTTTGAATTACGAAACACATTCTCAACAGCTTGTTTTATTGCGGCATCTTGATCAGTTAAAACAAGTGTTGGTTCTTTCCCATGAGTTTTAAGAAATGCTTTAAGAAACCAAAGTAAGACTCAATGCTTTCATTGCTTAGCAACCCAGATCCAACAGTAACCGATTTTTTATGATGGTCAATAGCAGTAAATGGAACAAAAACCATTCGATACCTAACACACAAAAAAAAATGTTCATTAGAGTCAATTTTTGATGTATTAATCAGTGAATATAAAAATATTCATATATGAATAAGCTATAAACATGAGTAGATAAAATAACTTACTTGTTTGTTCGGAAAGTCGCATCAAATGAGATAACATCACCAAATTCAGCATAATATGCCTTCTCC